TTCTTAACTAATTTAATTGCTGCACAGTAACTTTTTAATCTCTCACATCAGGAATTATTTATCCACGAATCCAGTAATATAGGAATCTGCCAGTCAATTTTTACTATATTTTGACAATTGTCTCTTTCAGAAATGTAACAATAAACTACATCCTATAAAGAAGACTGCTTCTAGTAGCATATTTTACCTACACTAGGTAAATTATTGCCTTTACAGTAGAGAGAGAATGAAAAATCCTTTTGCTTAAAATATCACCTGCAGTCATTCAACCTTGCAAAATCCCTTCCTGGATGAGATGTATTTATTCAGGTTTTCACTGTAGTGAATTGAGTTAGGATTAAGAGTTCTACAGAAATTTCAAGGACACAAAAAGGCATGCTTCCTTATCCTTGTAGAATCATGCAGTGACATGTAATGGTGTTATTTGTAGGACCTTGTAAACTTAATTTCTAAAATTGGTGAAGTGCTGGTTTTGTGTCCAGTGTGCTTAGGGCATGATAATAGGCTGTCTTCAACTTTCAAGAACTCTGAGTCTTTTATATGCTAGTTGTAAGCGTGTAAGTGTACTTGTGCATGAAGGTTGCCTAACTACACTGCATGTCTTTATAAAAAGAAAATTAGAAGCCTAGTAGAAAATCATTTAAATTTATTTCTGGGAGACACAGTAGGGCAGCACATAATGCCTAAAAGCTCTCTTGTCTTCCATGCTGTTGTATCATATTAAATATATTTTAGGAGCTGACAAGCACTTTTCAGTGCCAATCAACAACAGAAAGAGGCGTTGCTATTGACAACTGGGAAAGTTGTGGTGCTGAATTGCAGAAGCTGTCTTTTAAAGGGTTCTAGCCGTCATCATCACATCAGTGAAGCATATTAATCTGCTGCACATTGTTTGAAAAGGTGTAGGTAATTACCTTTCCTACTCCACAATGTTTTCACAGAAATATTTTATGAGATAATATTGTTTAGTGGGAAACTATAGCTAAACTTTCCAACTGGGGGGAGAAAGGATATATATGGCTCATAAAAAGCTGACATCCTTTTAGTTAGTGGTTTCCAGAATTTGAATAATCACCAAATATGTAATTCATGTGCCTTATGCAGTAAACAACCTGAACAACCATACTTGCCAGCCCTACAGACTAACTTGTTATTATTACTGTTGTTGTTATTATTTAGCAATAGGAGGCAGTTTTTAAAAAATACCTTACAGTTTCATAAAGACAATTTGGGCATGAACACCCAAAATAGGAAGTACATAATCTCAGAATGAAACACAGATTTACTTTTAAATTAAATAATTTTAGATACAAGAAAAACTCACTGCACTACCCTTATAGCACATTCTCATTACATGACAAACTAGTGAAAGAAAGTTCTTATTATCTTTCATAAATTTGAGTTTGGAAAATAAAATTTGCTTTTAATTATTATTTTATAGAAAGCAAAAAGGCCTTTTAACATTTGGTGAAAATCAAGGTTTATCATTTCTGTAGCATGTGGCTATGTCCCTAAAAGAGTGACTTAACCTGCGGCTGCCAAAATCAGTGACAGATTTTGACACAAGCTGTGAAAGAAGCATCTGTGTGACTAATGGCCTGGCTCATACATTCACTTGGTGGCTGGGTGCCAATATTTTATCTGGATGGTTTGCTTCAGACTCAGATGTTTCTACTTTAATAACTCCTGAATAAGACTCTGAAAACAAAGTAATTCCTGTGGATTATATATCCTTATCATCCCCAGACTGTATCTCCTTCTCACTCATCCCATTGACAAATGCATCTCTTTTCAATTCCCCAGAAAGACTCTTCCCTTAGTGGAGTCCCAGAAGAAATAAAAAGTGGGTCACTAGAGGTGGAATGTCTCAGCCCCAGACAGACAATGACACAAGAGTGAGACATGATAATATGACCTGGATTTCTATGAAATGTCATTTAAGCATGGATTTAACTGCAGACCCAAAGCATTATGCTCTACAAATCAAGTGAGTTCCTCTTCTTTTTCCAGGAACTACTGTCCTTCCAGACTCGACTGATCAGTTTTCCTTTGAAGATTTTCCTTATCTCTCCCCATCCAACTCAGAAGAAAGGGTAAATCAGGTAAAATCAAACAAGGTGAAGCCAGGCATGTAATTAATTCTCAAAATATATGTTGTAAACTCTTGCATGCTTTCCAGAAATGGGTTACAACTTTAGTTTTATACTTGCTAGCAAATAAAGGCATTGGCAGAATCAGTAATGGTTCAGTGTCTACGTGCTTATAAACATACAAGTTGCAAAGAAGAACACGCTCATGGCTGGTACTGACATGAGAGAGAAGTTTCTCCTGTGGGCCCTCTTAAAGAAAAGAGTGTGCAGTGTAGTGAAGAATCATTAAATGGCAGCCTCATAGTAAACACAGTGGCTTTCAAAAATCTGTTTCTTCTAACATCACTCAGCATAAGCTTATGGCAAAATGCCACTCCACAATTTAGTAAGCACATTCCCACAGGAACCAGAACAGTGTTACCGAATTTTTGCTTGTCTGGCTTACATAGGATAGATTTAAGAGGAGCTAGGTGAATGGACAGACAGCATGTCCTTCAGACAATCTTTCATAAATATTGTTTCTCCCAGCTGAGCTTCTGATAAATGTTGAATGGCAGTGAGTTGAAGATTATATTCCCTGACAAGTACCTGGAGTGAAGCTATTCTGTTTTTCCGGTTAAGTGCAAAGCCATATGTTTTAACAGCTCCTCAACCCAGAGGCCAGATTGACATTTTCTTATGAAAGTTGACAAGTCTGACAAGAACAAATGCTTGAAGAGAAAGCCACTCCATCTGCACACAGAGATAAACAAGGGAGTACCTACGGGAAGGGCCAAGATTCTTTTCAAAAAGCAATTACTCTCCTGCTCACAAATAAAGGGATCATCAGAGTGCCGAAGATCGTTGCCATACGATAAGAGCATAATAATTTTAAGCTAGATTAATTTTAACGTTTTAACAAAATACCATGCACATTTGCCAAAAACAAATTTTGTTTCACCCTACTATTGCCATCTGCCTCCAAAAATATTTTATATCAGTTTATTCCAAAGAGAGGAGAGTGTTACTCAAACAAACAAAAAATATACATTTTTTGTCAATTCTCCTAATGAGTGGGGCATTCATCATGATAAGGAAGCAAAGACCAGAAAAATGGCTGTTTTCTTATACATGCTTGCTTAGGTTGCATGTTACCCTTCTAAGAGAATCCCACCATTCCTCTCCCTTTTTCTTCTTTCTAAGTCTTTCTCCCATACACCTGAGGTAGGAGGAGCTGAGAGAGTTCTGGTTAGAACTGTTGCCCCCATACAATTCCTGGTACAGGCAGATTAAGCTGGCTCTTCTCTCACTTTAAGGAAAATATATTTTACTTTTCCTACTGTCACTATATAGGGGCCAAAGGAGCTACCCATTTGTCAAGTCTAAGTCATCAAAGTTCATCCAGGGATTTGGAACAAAAGCTTTTGCTGTGGGGCTGACCCTCTACATACTTATTGCCCACAGAGCCTTAAAGACAAAATATAGAGACATACCTGGGAAAATACAATCATAATAGAGTTTGGCAGTGGTGAATAGTGAAATAACAGTGCCTAGGACTTGTAACTCCTTGGGAAAAGGCAAACTTACAATAAATGTATCAAGAAATAAAGTAATATAATTACCTATAATTTGAATGGAGTAAAGAATTATCTTTAATAAGAATGAAGTGATGCCCTGCTTTCAACAATGGACAGAACATTCAGATAGAAAATCAATAAGGAAACAATGAACTTGAACACCGCTATAGACCAAATGAGGCTAAGAGACATATGAAACATTCCACCCAGCATAAGCAGAATACACATTATTCTCAAGCACATATGGAATATTCTCCAGGACAGACCACATGTTAGGCCACAAAACAAGTCCTAACAATTTTAAGTAAAATATATTTTAAGAGACTGAAATTATATCAACATATTTTCCAACCACAATAAGAAACTAGAATGTAATAACATCAGGAAAATTATAAAATTTACAAATATGTGGAAATTATACATTACACACCTAAATAACCAATAGGTCAAAGAAAAAAACAAAAAGAAAATCTCAAAAGATCCTGAAATAAATGGAAATAAAAACACAGCATACTATAACTTACATAATAAAAGTAGTTTTAAGTGAAGTTTATAGCAATAAACAAAAAATCTATAATTAGATACCACCTCACACTGTTATGATGACTGTTATCAAAACCAAACAAAGATAATAAAGACTGGGGAGAATGTGAAGAAATTGGAACACTTGTATACAGTTAGTGGGCATGTAAAAGGGTGCAGCAGCTGTTTAGTGCAGTATGGAGGTTCCTCAAAATATTAAAAATAAAGCTATCATGTGATCCAGCCATTCCACTTCTGGGTATATATTCAAAAGAATTGAAATCAGGATCTCAAAGAGATACCTACACATCCATGTTCATTGCAGCATTATTCATAATAGTCAAATGAAAACCACCCAAGTGGACATGGACAGAAAAATGGAAAAAGACAATGTGGTATATGTATACAATGGAAACTTATTCAGTCTTTAAAAAGACAAAAATCTTGCCATTTACAACAACATGGATAAACCTGGTGGCCATTATCCTAAGGGAAATAAGCCAGGGACAGAAGGACAAATAGTGCATGATTCCACTTCTGAGTTACCTATAACGGTCAAACTCATAGAAGCAGAGAATACAACAGTGGTTGGTAGGGGCTGGGAGGTGGAGAAAATGAGGAGTTCATTGGATATGAAGTTACACTTATGCTAGATAAATAAGTTCTAGAGTTCTTCTGTATTACGTATTGCCTGTAGTTAATAAGATGATATTGTGTACCTCAAAATTTGTTGATTGTAGATTTATTATTAAATGTTCTTAACACACATGCACACACGCACACACACATACGGGACATAAGGAAACTGAGAGGTGTTGAATATGTCTATTACCTTGATTATGGTGGTGGTATCAGGGGTACTTTCATATATCCATACCTATTAGAATATACACATTAAATATGTGCAGTTCTCTGTATATCAATTATACCTCAATAAAGCTGTTTTTAAAAATGAAGGAATGGAACAGAGATTAAATCCCATCAGATGGGCTCTACTCAGACAGTTGATAAAGTTTCTCTGATTGGCAAGACTAATAGGATTTATGAAAGCTTGGTCAGAAAAAACTTTCACTGAGGTTATGTTTAGCTTGGGGTTTTAATTATTTATGCAATATGAAGTATTATTAAGACATAACCAGAAAATAAGCTGGGGTATATAAAGTCTGGCACCATTCAATTTGGTTGGAAAAGTAGGGGGTAGGAAAGTTTCCTATTTTTTACAAATAAATTAATTATAGAATATCCCCCAGTAAACTCATAAACAGAAAAGCCATGTTCTAGAATTTGTCTACAGTACCAGTTTCATCAGCTAAACTCAAGTCTTACCATGTAAATTTATTATACCAAAGAATTAGAAGAAAAGAGAATTTATAATGAAAGAAGATGTTTACACATATATAACTTACCATTTCTGAAAAGATGCATGAAAAAAAATGGTACCAGTAATGGAAACTAGGGAACTCTGGCTAATGATGCTTAATTTTAGTGACATTTAATTTTTGGCAATATTTAGTATTTATACCATGCGTATATGACCTCCAATATTATTTAAGATTTTACAATGGGAATTAAATTTGAGGCTAAAAATTTTGGTTCCTTCATCTAATTTTAATTTCACAAATTACCACACTAATCAAACCAGAGTTGAGTGGGGTTTTGTGCATGACTGTTATTGTTTGTGGTTCTTATTTTGATGCACACCCTTTATCAATTTAGAGATTAGGATGCCACATTTCAAATTTTCTACGCCACAGTATGGAAAGAATTAGTTTACCTTTATTGACAGTCTTTCAATAAAGAGTGAAATAAAAGTCTACTCTTCACAATACCCGAGACAGTTTAAAAATTCCTCCCTGGTCTCCAACTCTCCACCTTTGGGAACACCACCTAAAGTCTTCAATAGAGCTTTTCTCAGTGTCTCATTGGGGACACGAAAAATGTTCAGTTTGGTGGTATATGCAAAGTGAAACATGTAGGAAAAAGTCTGTTTATTGACGGGGAAGATCACAACCCACGGGCTGGGCTGGGGAAATACTAAGCCCTTTCTATGCTGCCTCCCTATATTTAAATTTTTACCTGAAGCCACACACTGTAGAACAAAAAAATGAACTTTTACATGGATCATACCATCACAGCTGAGTTAGGCAAAGTCAAAAATTAACAGGCAAGGTCAAAATCCCAGATTTTTTTTTTTTTTTTACTTCTATTTAGCCTACTTATGATTTAGCTCTAGAAATTTCTGAACTTGCTTGGAATAATTGGCTGATGTGACAAAGTGAATCCATACACAAGGCTCTACATTATAGATCAGTCTTCTCTACATCAAAAGAAAACCCCCAAATTTACATACTTTATAAATAAATGTGTGTATCTGCATATCTGTGTGTGTGTGTGTGTGTGTGTATTACAACATATTTCGTCTGCCTTTAAATTTGGTCATAATCATATCAAAATGCTCATTCTATCCTTCTTTTTCACTTTCCATGGGATTAAGTTATTCATCTTTTCTTCATCTTATCTCATTTTCTAAGTTACTAGAAAATTTGATCCATGGGTAAAATTTTAAAAGGTAGGGAAATAGCTGCAAATTTCTATAAGCACTAGAATAATTTGCAGTCACCTTGTCAGTGATAGATCAGTTGTAGTCAGTTACCCCATGCTAAGGCATAAAGCAGGCTGTGTTAAACTGAGCTGTGGAATATGCACAATACCTGAGTTTCCAACTGTGGTTCCACTCCTTTCTTTACCATTCAAGAAACAATCTGCAATGCAAATAAGGAAGAGTGACTTTACAGAGAAAACATGACATCTGCTTACTTGAAGACTTCAGAATTAAGTTCATATCAAAACTATGTAGAACTTCCCTCCCAGCAAAGACTATTGTGTTCCATTCCTTTCCTGGCTCTTGGCATGCTATTGGCATGTAACATTTTAGAAACCCCCCAAAAAATAGATTTTAAGCATCTGCCATGTACATTTAACTTTTTACTTGAAAGAGTTTACTGACTACGAGAAACCTCATGTAGAATTAAGTTATACTACAGAATATGTTGCTTATATACCATGCAATGCAAGAGAGTCATTTCTGTTTCAAATGTAGTTTATGCTATTGGAAGAACATAATGACATGTTGTTCTAAGAGTATCTCCATTTAACTAAAATGTGATAAGAAAATCACCTTATAGTGTGCGCTTACTGCTAACTGGAATTATTTAATGCCTACCACTAGCTTGAAAGAAGGAATTTTACTCACTATAGGAGTCAACCTGTCCATTCTTCATTCAATTATTCTCTATATTACAAGGCATCCATAAAAATTAAAGTGCTTCTAAGTCACTAAAAAAAATGTTATGATGAACTTCTCGAAACATTCATTAAGTAATGGATAGAATCAAATTTACTAAAAGATTGTTTCATATATTATAAACATAAGTAGCCAAACTGATACTAATCAGAATATTTGTTTCCTTTAAGAGTTATGTCACATATAAAAATGTGGTAAGAGAAAGGTTTTCTTTTCTCACCAGAATTAAAAATACTCTAAAATGTTTTGTGAATTAAGTATCAGCACATAATCAGCCAGAGGTCAGGTATCTCTAAATCCACACAGAAGCATAGTATTGGAAGAATTTATCTCAGTGCATCAACTTTGCTTTTCCTAATGCTCTCAAGAAACAAAAATTGTATCTTCTTTAAAAATAATGTTAGAAAATAATCCAAACATAAATTAGTTATGGGAATTAATTACGGGAATTAATAAACATAGATTAGTTAAAGGGATTACCCCTGGTGATAAAGTAGCATCGTTGGGAGCAAAGAAATGAGGTAGGAAGGTTGCCCCCAAAAGAGACTTACTCTTCATCACCAACATTGGATTTTTTTATTAGATGTACTTTTATATTACTTGTGTAACTGAAAGTAAACTTAATTGGGCAATATTAAATGAACACATACAGATACATGTATGAAGGAAAGAAAGATAGGAGATGGAGAAAAGTGTGAACCTGTATGTACTTCAGACAAAGATCCAAGATGAAAGAACAGGGCAGAATTCTTAATTCGAACTACGTGATGATGTTACAGCAATTTTTTATAAAATCCATAACACCATTATACATTTATCCAAATAGAAAAATAAAATACAAAAGACAATCTTGTCTAAATATGGTCACTTTTCTCAAATAACCTTTCTGGACAGGTGTTCAGCTTCCTTTCATTTTCCCTTCCAAGTTTTTAAATTCCCCCCCCACACCTTTAATCTCTCTCCTAATCTATGGAATCTTTTTAAAATCTTATTCTTCATTATCCCAAAGAGTAATCACTCTATAGCCATGTGGATCAGCCTATACTATTTATCTCACACTTACTTACAAGTTCATGTGTCACCTCCAATGTTAATGATTGTAAAAGAAATAGACCCCTAGGACTCAGCTCCCATTGTAACTGGTGTATTATGCAGGAATAAGGAACTAGTTTCTGGAAACCAGGTTGCTTAGACAAGGCTTCAGATTTCACATATCAATTTAATGCGTGCAACTTTTAGCTCTTGGAATGCTTAATAAAATTTTATACTTGCCTTTTAACTAAGACCTAAATTTAATATGATTTTTGGAGTTAGGACCATTCCCCTCTGGCTTAAAGAGCAAGTGATCCTTTTTGTTTACAGATATAACATCCCACTTCTAAATATTATTTCTAAACTGTTAATAGGTCAGATTCAGAGGCATTAACTATAAAAGAATATTTTGCTCATTTAGAAAACATTTTGAAGTTTATTTTAATTAACGGATAACTGTATCCATAATAAAATAAGGAGAAGTGTTTTTTATTGGTATATCCTTGGAGACGCATTTAAATGCTCTATAGATTTAGGAATACAAAGAATCCAGAATATTCATGTCATTCTCTCCTGAAGTCATAAAGCTCCATATAATTTGCATGATGCATTCTAGTAATAAAACATTTAACATTTACTAAGTACTTAATATATGCCAGGCACTGAGCCATGGAGGAGGGATTCCAAAAAGGAAATTACAACCATAAGAATTCTTCCAAATGGATTTTAGGTAAAATCAGCAAGGGGCGTGAGCTTTCTAACCTGCCAGGCTAGAAAGAATTAGCCTAGAAGAAAATATGAATCTTGGGATTTACCTTACCGATTTGTCCATGGCAGCCCTTCTGGCTGACACAAATATTTTTGTTAGCTAGTCTACCACTTTTATCTCCTTTCCATTCATTCCCCTTTAACATAGAAAGATTATATTGAGCCTCTAACAGACCCTAAAAGTAAACAAACAAAACAGTTTCACAATGTTTCTGTACTGCTAAATGTTGCTCTCATATCACTTAATCTTAGTATATTTTACGCTTTGAAAAAAAAAAAAAAAAAAAAACCTTCATTAAATCCTTTTAGGACCAAATGAGAGTATAAATGAAATAAATATTGTTAATGTGCAATCACTGTTGTTTTCCAAGTCTTGTACTTCTCTCTTTGCAGTTGTTATATCTAAAAGTTTTGGGTGTTCATTGTTCTGCAGGATTACACAAATTAAAATAGAATTAATAGTATAAGAATAACAGAAATCAGGCAGAGTAAGACGGCCAAATAGAAGCCTACACTAATCATCCCCCTGCTCAAGAACACCAAATTGAACAAGTATGCACACAATGAGAGCACCTTCATAAGAACCAAAAATCCGGTGAGTGATCACAGAGCCCAGTTTTAACTTCATGTCACTGAAAGAGGCACTGAAAAGAATAGAAAAGACAGTCTTGAATTGTTGATGCCACCCCTCCTCCATCCTACAGCAGTGGGCCCCATGGAGTAGAGAGATAAACTGTACACTTAGGGAAGGGAGAGTGCAGTGATTGTGAGACTTTGCCTTGGAACTCAGTGCTACCCCGTCACAGCAGAAAGAAATATCAGGCAGAACTCAGTCAATGCCCATGGAGGTTGCATTGAGACCAGCACTACACAGAGAGAAATCACTTATCTCAGTGGTCAGAACCTAAGTTCTGGCAAGCCTCACCACTGCAGGCTAAAAAGTTCTAGGGTTCCAAGTAAACTTAAAAAGGCAGTCTAGGCCAAAAGGACAGCAATTCCTCAGCAAGTACTGGTACTGTGCTGATCTCAAAGCCAGTATACTTGTGGGGCATGTGACCTGTAAGACACAAACTGGGGCAGCCAAGGTAGTGCTTAGTTCCACCCCTTCCCTAACCTCAGGCAGTGCAGCTCCCAACTCTGGGACAGACTCCTTCTTTCTGCTTGAGGAGAGGACATGGAAGAGTAATGAGAACTTTGTCTAACAACTTAAATATCAGCTCAGCGACAATAGGATAGGGCACCAAGCAGAGTTTGGAAGCCCTCATTCCAGGCCCTAGCTCCCAGATGACATTTCTAGACACTCTCTGGGCCAGAAGAGAACCCATTGCCTTAAAGGGAAGGGCCCAGTTCTGACACAATTTCCTACTCGCTGACTGAAGAAACTTTGATCTGTGAATAATCGCAGCAGTAGCCAGGTAATACTTGCTGTGGGCCCTGTGTGAGCTGGTTCATCCTCCCCCAGCTCTAGGAAGCTCAGCACAGACAGAGAAAGAAAGAGAGAGAGAGAGACAGAGAGACAGAGACTCTTTGTTTGAGAGAAAGTAGGGGAAGACAAAAAGAGACTCTGCCTAGTAATCGAGAGAATTCTTCCAGATTTTATGTAATACCCCAAGGACAGACATCTGTAAGAACCACAGCATTCCTGGGCTTGTGGTGCCTGCTAATACAAATATGGCTGCAGTGACAAAAACTTAGATTATAACACCCAAGCCCATCTGAATAACTGGAAAGCATTCCCAAGAACAATGAGCACAGTCAAACCCAGACTGTAAATACTTAACTCTTCAATGCCCAGACAGTGGTCAAACATCCACAAGCATCAAGTCAATCTAGGAAAACATAACCTCACCAAAAAAAAAAAAAACTAATAAGGCACCAGTGACCAATCCTGGAGAGACAGAGATATGAGGTATTTCAGAGAATTCAGAATATTTAAAATGGCTGATTTGAAGAAATTCAATGAAATTCAAGATAACAGAGAAGGGATTCAGAATCCTATCTGATACATTTGACAAAGAAATTGAAATAATTAAAAAGAATCAAGCAGAAGTTCTAATGCTGAAAAGTTCAAGTGACATACTGAAGAATGCAACAGATTCTCTTAAAAGCAGAATGGATCAAGCAGAAAGAATTACTTAGCTTAAAGAAAGTCTGTTTGAAAATAAACAATCAGGAGAGACAAAAGAAAAAAAGAATAAAAAACAATGAAGCATTCCTACAGAATCTAGAAAATAGTCTTAAAGGGGCAAATCTTAGAGTTATTGGTCTTAAGGAGGAGGTAGAGAGAAAGAGAGAGTGGTAGAATATTTATTCAAAGGGATAATTAAAGAGCACTTCCCAAACACAGAGAAAGATCTCAATATTCAAGTACAAGGTTATAGAACATCAAGTAGATTTAAACCAGAGAAGACTACCTCAAGATATTTAATAATCAAACTGGCAAAGGTCAAAGATTAAAAAAGGATATTAAAAGCAGCAAGAGAAAAGAAACAAAATATAATTTAGTTCTAATATATCTGGCAGCAGACTTCTCACTGGAAACCGTTCAGACTACGACATACTTAAATTGCTAAAAGAAAAGCTTTTATCCTAGAATAATATATCCAAGGAAAGTATTCTTCAAACATAAAGGACAAATAAAAACTTTCCCAAAAGAAA